TTGCAATCCCTACTAACAATGTAAGGCTTCACTGTATATCCTTCAGCTCTGGAAATCGTGCAGAGAAACCTCACAATTTCTTCTTCACTCATTTTTGGACGGTGTCCATTCTTTCCTCTTACAGTTTTGTTAATTGGACGAAAAACGTTTGTACTGACTTTGAGACGCTGCACGAGATAATTTAAATGTGCCGCTATTATTCAGAGCCGAGTAGGATTTGGCCCATTGAGAAGGGTGTCGGATTTGAGTAATGTCAACTTCATCAAACAGCGCAATCCTGAGTATTTAAACTCTCGTGCATTTATATGCAGCTAATACGTGACGAAAGCAACCTCTATTATGTAATGTTTATGTCTACATCCTGTATAGAAACCATTTCGAACCTTTTAACATATTAAAAATTTGTAGTATCTTTCCATTTCTACACTTTTCATCGAATTAACGAATAGAATTTTATAAAATGATAATCGAATTTTGTTGTTTTCTTCACAAAACGTGTTTCACTGAGAAATTTTTTAAGAGATTACACGTGCATTTTTAATTGACATTTTTCGCGACTCCTTTATTTCCTATTTTAAAGATTTTTATAACAAACTATAGAATGAAATTCTCGATTGCAAGTCAAATCTTCTGTAAATTCTAAATAGATGGATTCGAAGTTTAGAGTAAAACCGAAATAAGCGAAATTATACAGGATACACCATTAAAAATGAAGCTGAAATAATACTTTTAAAATTTAAGTAAGTAAGTAACTAAAAAACAATGGACATATAAAATATTTTATGTGTCCATTGACACACTCGAATGCATATCCTGTAATTTATAATTAAATTATTTCATTACTTATGTTATAATCTTAATCGACGAAGCTAGAACCTAGTTCAGGAGTCGACAACTTGTGGCTCTTTTTAAATTAGTAAATAATATACATATAACAAAATAAAATTTTTAACTTAAGTAAAAGGAAAAGATAACAAGTAAACGGAAACGCCAGTAATAATTTGTAAAAGACTTTCTAATTTCACTAATCACTTATCATTTCACTGTCAGAGTAAGAATATTATATAGCTACATATAAAAGCATTTATAAAGAACAGAACATCTGGTTGCAATTATCGAGTCTTTGATGGCACAAAGCGTAAAAATTAGACTAAGCTTGTGACATATGTTTATTGTACTGAAAATAGAAAGATTTCCTTAATTTTATGACTGATAGAACAGTTGTTGTTTGTCCCAAGAATTTATGAGTTTTTATTTCGAATGATTGTAGAATTTCTGACTTCCAGTGTCGCTCTTGTGTTGGTTGTAAGTTTTCTGCTATTAGTTTGGTGCTCTATTAGATATTTTTATATAGAAGTTATTCTACTGTTTTATTAAATAAGTTTATTATAATTATATTATTTCCGTAGAATATTATGTATTTGCTTTTTTGCGCGTGAGATATAAAAAACAGGTTTATACATATTTTTTGATATTTGTTAGATTGATAAAACAAAATCGCTTTTAATGGTAAAAAGAGAAAAGTAGAAGCAGAAAATCGCGAATTTAGAAGTGAATGAGTGGACTAAATTTTATGCAGTTGTTTCAAGTTTACCACGATTCCCAGTGTGTTTAATATGTCAAGAAAAGTTTTCTAATAACAAAAAATCAAATGTACAAAGGCATTTTTTAAATAAACATAAAGCATTTACAAACACTTCTCGACAAAGAAAAGAAATAAAAAATTCACTAGAAGAACCTCAACGTAAAATGAACTTCAGTAAAGGTACTGTACATTCTCAGATTGAATAAAATCAAGTAACAATACAACTACTGCTAGTTTTGTTGCCTATCTAGAAATAGTGAAACGGGGAAAGTCATTTATGGATGGCGATTTTGTGAACTTCTTCAGGAAGTCAAAAGCCAATATTCTGATTTTTTTTTACACAACAAACGAGACATTCCAATTTTCAACGCTGACTCAGCGCTGATCTTGACATTCGTTAAAATTCGTTCCTTTTTTCAATGTTGAGGTAGCGCTGTTGTCAGCGCTGACTCAACACACTCAGCACTCAACAGACATGTTGACTGCTACTTTCCAATGAATTGTGGGTAATTGGTAAGACATTTGAATGGAATTGTGAGATCCGAATAGCCCCCGGGTCTAAAATAATCATTTAAAAGGAAAGTAAAAATCTTTATAGAAAAATATTCTTTCATTTTGATGGGAAAATAACGTTTTTCTAGCGTGGAAAAACAGCTAGGAGAGTCACTTCCTTTGACGGAAGTATGAGCATCCTCTGTTTTTCCCTTATCTATTAAAAATCTTGTTTCGATGGGAACTGTCTACCCCTACTTTCTTCCCCTTCCCATCCGTTCACGTGGAAAAATTCTAGAATGATAATTGGTCGTAAATCCGAAGATATAGTCGAAGTTCAGCCGAATTCGGAGAGTTCGTCGGCAGATCCGAGAGTGACCAGACTCCACTCAATTGCTCTCTAAGGCCAACGCCCTTAAGAGTTCGTCCGTACATCGGAGAGTGAAAAGGACTCCACACATATGCCAGCAGACCAACGCCATAGTCGTTCCTTATCAAGTTAATCCTAAGTTATCAATGAAGGACCCTCGCCAAGATAAGAAGAAGACAAAGCTCCTTTAACAGGTTGTATGTTATTTAAGGAATTGTGAGCTCTCTCTCTCTCTCGTAAATGTATAGGTTAAGAACACCTTTTCTCTAGACGCGTTGGATTTGTTAGATTCGTTGTCTTGATCGATTGTTAAATAGTTGATTATTTCTTATACTGTATAATATTGTTATTTTTTCTACATTATTGTTTAATCCGTGACTTTTGAATGTTTCCTGAATCAGATCCTACTCGCGTGTTAATCCGCGGGATATAAATGAGATTAACTGGTGTCGAGACTTGACAAGATCTAGAATTCACCCTCTAGATCGTTTTTAAACATTTTATCGCTTTCCTATAAAAAGTTAGAGAGCCGATCTCACGATCGAGTGCTTGTAAGCGGCGTGAACTTAGTTCTACGTCCCTGGCTTCTCACAGAATCCATCTTGCTGAAAATGGAATTATGGGAACTAAGCACTTCGTACTCGAGTTGGAACGTCGTTGATGACGTCAAACTGTTGACTTCAACACTCAACACTCGCGTTGAAAATTGGAATGTCCCGAAAGTAATGTGACTTTCCAGAGGAGCAGTGTTCAATGCGATTTGCTGTTTGCATTAAAGAAATAAAATCGAGTTGTTTTTGATACTTGGAACAGTTTGACGGATACTTATATTCAATTAATTAAAAACAATGTATTTGAATTTCTATCGATTTTCGGATCGACATATTTTTGCGAACAGACATTTTCGAACATGAATTTTATTCAAAATAAACTAAGAAATCAGCTGAACAGTGTCAGTTTGAGATCTTGTTTCAATATAAAAGTTAAGTCATATTTACCGAATGTTGAGAAACTTTCTCGACAAATTCTGCAACAAAAATCTTATTAGAAATCATATATAGTTTTTATTTTTTATTAAGTGTTCTATTTTAACTTTTTAGTTCATACAAGTTAATATAAAACGTTTGAAATCTCAGCATACTGTTTGACCGAAAAAAATGTTAAAATTTATGTAAATATGTATAAACTTACTTATTTTTACTTTATTTTCATAATTATATTACATAATTACGACTATTGTAACACTGATAAAAATAATTGAATTGCAATATATTTTATTACAGCATTTTTAAGAATAGTACAAATAAATCCATTTCAACGAAAAAAACCACACGTTTTAACTTGAAATATTTCATAATTCAAGTTGCTGACTCGCGGCTCCGTATTATTTTGGTAAATATTACGTATAACTCCTAAGATGGCTCTTTTTGATAAAAAACGTTGCCGACCCCAGACCTAGTTAGAGGGGTCACATTTCTTTATGACCAACCCCAATCACACCAATCTGATAAACTTCCTGTAATGTTTCGACTCATCCAGATTTTACTCCCGTCTTCCGGAGCAACAAACGGCGTTCTGTTTCTGTTTTTTTAAGAAAAATCTCAGTCTGTTCGTCCGAATTCTGGTTATAAAAGAAAAATACGAACTGATCACGAAGATTATCGCTTCTTCGTCATCTTGTGCGCCTAACTACACCGAAAGAAATTGTCATCGTTCATTGCCTTTAAAAATGTTCGAAAAGCTAAAACAAACTAATGAAGATAAAAGAAAACAACATTGAGATCGGCAAAAATCATTCGAGAAACGAGAGATTGACTGTAAAAAACAACGAACAATCTAGTACATAATCGAGACGGGTTGATGATAATAATAATAATAAGCGCAGAGCCCAAACGGTTGGGAGTTGAAAGTTGAAATTTGGTACACAGATAGTGTACGTCATGAAAACGCACACTAAGAAGAGATTTTTCGAAATTCCTCCCCACGGGGGAGAGGGACAAGATTAAGGCTTAACACTTCCATCAACAATGAAAGTGTTAAGTAACAATGGAAGTGCTAAGTAACAATGAAAGTGTTAAGTAACAATGGAAGTGTTAAGTAACAATGAAAGTGTCAACAATGGAAATGTTACGTAACAATGGTATTGTTAAGAGAAAGCGACGTGCAATACGCAGATGCAGTTTTTTCGTTTTTGCGGAAAATCGAACATATTTTTAGACCCATGTAAAAATTCTCTAATTAGTCTGGAAACAAGGGGATCCAATTCTTGCATTCTGTGAAAACGGGTACGGTTGACTGTAACGTAATAATCTTTATCTTAGTTATCGTAACTTTTGCCCGAGCAACGCCGGTCCCACCTGCTAGTTAAATATAGACTGGCTGTATAATGTCGATGAACAGTTAAAACAACTCAGACACTTATTGATACTTATTGATAACAACTCGTCGCAGCGTCCAAGCAGTTGAACTAACGTATACAAAACCTGACATGGACCAGGAATTGATGAGTTTGGCACATCCCCTGATGTGCCAAACTCATCCATTCCTGCATGTTTACTGGAACTGACCTTTCAAAGACACTTTGCTGAGCAGTATGAAAAGTGAATGCTGCACATGACGATGTCTTCCTCAAAAAATAATTACTATATTATTAAATTTGTAATTAAAATAGATTAATTAATGCCGAGAGCGCCTTGAAACGTATTTATGTACAAATTTCTGACGATTGATAACCAACATTTACCTGTCCGTCGAATTTGTGGTCGAGGGTTTTACTTCTTTTCTTTCTTTCGCACATTTTCGATTTCATGTAATTCATTGTCGATAAAATAACCGGCAAAAATACCAACGCAGTAATAAAAGAAAATATAATAACCAAAAATATTATTTTAAAAATCGTGACAAATATATACGCCAACGGAACGGTTAAAGGTAACACGGAAATTATTGTTGTTGCACTACCTTGAAATATTGCGAATCCTATACAATCGATGCTATGACGAAGACGTTCATTGGAACCTTCAATGTCGCAATGTCTATAAGCATGAGACATATGAGCAGAGTAATCCACCGAAAAACCGGCGCACATGACTAAGACAATCATAGACACTGGTGCCAATTCGACATCCCACAGAGCCATGTAACCCAAAGTGGAAATTTCGATAGTAACAATAGAAAAAGCTACCGAAAACGTAACGACAACGTCTGGCATGAAAACGAAACAAACAATAATTACAATTATCACGATACTACACAACAGTTGAACAGTAAATTTTACATGCAAGTCAATGCTGTCGACGATATAATAGAAAAAGTGATACGGAAACACTCTAAAAGGCATTTTATCAGTGATTTTCCTTAGTCTCTGTAAAGTCACGTAGAATGATTTTTCGTCGACCGTGAAATCAGTCTGACAAAGAAATCTGCTTCCAACGATAGTTGTATAGTCAGAGTTGAATGCGATATCGTTACGAAATCGTTGTGCATACGGATGGCGTAGAAACATTCGGCGCAGAACTACAATAAAATCTTTTGTGTCGCTCATGTTGTACGACTTTACGATCGCAGACATTGAATCGTCTTTGACAAATTCCACAAAACTTTGGAGCCAAGACTCGGTAAGAAAATTTGCAATTAATCCTTCTCTCTCCATTTCGGAGAAAAGTTTTTCTATTTGATTCTGAATTTCTACATCTGCATAATTTATTTCTTGATCGACAATGATTTGGATGCTGTATTCGTAATGCTTGAAATATTTCAAAACATTTTTATAATACTGCAAATAATATGAATCGTATGCAGTAGACTGGGAAAATGGCCCTATAGTATCTGTTTTTGTCACTCCCCAAACTCCAACTGCCACGTAACCTGCCGTGATGAAGAGAATAATTATCATGACATACCATAAGAATAAAATATTACCGAGCTTCGTCCAAATTGATGTCCTAGGAGTGGTGAAGAGTATTTTTCGAATCCATGAATGATTTTCTAGAAGAAAAATTTGTCGTCATTAGTTTCTGGAAGTACTACAAAATGATTCGTTATATATTTACCTGTTTGTGTATTTATTTTCGTAAAGAATATAGAATGTCTTTCTTGTTTCTCCAGATATCCAAAGAGTGCCATGCATGCACCAACGAACGTTATCTGATAAACGTAACAAAAAAGAACAGAAATCGATGCGTATAAACAAAAATAAGATACGGATCTGTAAGGTGTGAACAGTCCCGAAATGAAAGCTATGAAATTCGTTACTGAAGTTACAGTAACAGAAATGGCAGATTCCGAATAAACTTCTGAGAGTCTGTCTGGAACGTTCTTCTGGGAATCGGTCCTTTTCCACGCAGCAAGAAAAACAAAAGCATCGTCCATGGATACTCCTGAAAGGAAAATTGCATTCAATATTTATGATGAAAAAGTTATAAATTTTAAAATTATTGAATAACAAACATTATACTAAACTAACTAAAATAATTTGAAATTAAACTATAGTAAACTATCGTTATCTTTTACATTTACAAAACATTTTTGTCATGTATAGGCTAATATTGAAAGGATATCACTATCGATCGTAAGCCGCTTTCAGACAGGCGACTGAGTTGTATGTACCAAGCTACTCGTATTCATCGCTATTTGCCACCATCGATGACTCAAATATAATAAATTTCCACTTTACAATAACAGAAGCCACTTGTTTGTAATCGTCGTCTGGTAGCTTTGCGCAATTCACTTATGATCCTTGATAATCAGGCTACGTCGCTCAGCCGCCGAAAGTGGTCCGTGTGAAAAGCTCCAAATCAATGGCACCAACTGATTGACCGAAATGATCTTGAGAAAGCTTCCATTCGGTTATTATATAATTTGGTATGAAATACCTGTTATATTTTTTTAGCCCTGACATAGTCGACTAGATTTGTGACATTTTTATACATATAAATTTATTAACAAAATTGAACAACAACCAACTCATACTGTGTATTTCTTCTCAGCTGCGAAACGTTCAGGTGTCATTATGTGCATCCACCACATCGAAAAAGAGCCGGCTCGATGGGTGGCGGGCTGAATGTTAGTTTGCTTTGGACGTTCCAGGGAGGTTCACTTATGAATCTGGGTTAGACATTTTCAAATTGAGGACAGAAAATGAAAAGAGTGTAATCACCAATTTTTTCAAAATTCATTGTTTTGCTGAAAAATAATCTCTTTCCATATTCATATTATTAAAAGGAAAAGAAACTGTCTCGTGTTTTAATTAATTTAATTTTCAGTTTTTCTTGTAGATCGCATCCGCTGTTTGTCGTGTCTTTTTGCATAAGAAGGGCTGTTATTGTATTTCCTTAAGCTTACTGTATAAAATAATCTACAAATTGTGTCAATATGCATGTAGAAAATTGTTTTCTATCATAGTGAGAAAAACGCCGGTCAGCAATTTTTAATTAAATCATATTTTTAACTTATTTAATTTAAAATATATGCTTTCCATCTTAAATTAGTAATGGCTTGCCCCTATACATCATATATTACATCATATATTATCTTTAAGAATAGAGTCGTGCCAGTCATCTATCTAACTCCTTTCAGGACAAATATGTTAATTGAAATAACGAGACATTTGATTTGTATCGGAAATTCTTGTATAGTTTTTCTGGATTTTCTCTGCCTAAGGTTTCCATATCTACTCTCGGCTTTCATATATCTAACTTCGTTCTCGAGATTGAGGAAAGATACGAAGACGGACAACAGTAGGAATTAACAGGTCTACAGTGTTTTTCAAATTGCAGGTTAATTAGAGACAGTCACTAAATATAAGAACTGTAAAATCGAAGTTGAACGACTGTAACGGAAAATATACTTCCAATTGTAGCCGGATCACGTAGAAGCCATTTCAAGGGATTTAGAGCAATATATGAGGAACCTATATCTTAATAGAATTAACACCTACATGCTACAGAGAGCTACATTAATTGGAACAGCACATAATTTGCATAATTACATCTAAACGTTCCACATCTCTGGAGAGGCTCGATGTTTAGGAAAGGAATACAATTATTAATAGCTGAGGAGCTGTGTTACGTTAGATAATAATTTTTATAAATAATTTATAGAGCATAGATTCAGATCAGTACGGAAAATCCGGCTCATGTAAAAATTAAAATTTTGCAATTTTGCTAAATGAAATGATATTGTAATTTTTAATATTTCAGGAAGTCTGGGAGATTACAAATGTTTCGGAGAATGTAGTAACTATACATTAAAGTAAAAGAATAGAACTCACATTTCTTGACGCTCGATTTCAAACGATAAAAACTATGATATAATGCATATGCTTCGTTAATTAGATAATGATGTTCAATGAGAGTTTCCTGGATATATTAGAAAGTTATCAGTATGAAACTACAGCACGAAGATGATTAATAAACAGTCATGACACATTTAACATTAAACAACCATAACTTGGACATAGGTCTTTCGTATTCCTGAATTAAAAGTGTAGTTTTTGTTTCTATTTTTATTTTTATTGATTTTCAATAAATTTTTTTTAACGTCGTAATGAACCAATAACCAATTCTCTTCTATTGTTTTGTAATGTTCTTCATTAAAAATTTCGAAGGAGAAGAAATAAATGTTGTTGTGGCAAAATGACAGGAAATTGGAAAGCCAGTTAGATCAATAGGGCCAAGGAATGACTAATTACATGTTAACTATAGTGATGTAACGAATATTCGGTTACTATTCGCTATTCGGCCGAATACCGTACATTTAATCATTTTTCGGCGGAATACCGAATACCTAAAAACAAGAGTAAGAAATAACAAAAACACAGTAAATTTATCATTTTGGTATTTAGTTTAATGTTATCGGGTTAGTGTTGTTTGTTTATATTTATTTATAACTTAGGCCTATAACATGCGCAAACTAAGAAAGAAAATAATATTAGTCACATGTATTCACAATTTATAATTACAAAGATCAGCAGTCGTACAGTATATACCTATTCGTTCGAGAATCGTCGCACATCTGAGGGTCTGACCCTACCTATCCTTGTTTTTAAGCGCTCGTATTTGCGCTTCCCTTTCTCTTTCCTCTATTGCTCTAGTCCATGTATGCCTATGCATATCTCATAATACGCGCTCACAATACTTTCGATTCGTCACTTTTCCGTCGTAGATTTCCCATTTTACAATTACGTGTCTCATAGCCTGGTAATAATGGAAAAAAGAGACAGATAGGACGTCGTTATAAGTCACAGTTATGATTTCACAGATTCGAGACAGCTTGGTAGCCCGAACGGCCCCAGGCTTTCGCCCGTACACGCTAAGTGACTTTCGTTACAAGCATTTAGCTTTCCGAAGTCTATGACAACAATTGCTTGGCACTGACGGCTGCGAATTTCGAGCCAATAAGCAGCCTCGACTTGTTCGATTATGTTATCAACTCAATTTCATATTTATTTTCACATTTTCACTTAGCGGTCCTTCTCTGTTTTTCTTCCGTTATTTACACGTGTAGGTCATTTCATTGTTAACCACATTTGATATCATCATTTATCACATACTGCCATGACGCTCTTGTCTGTCCGCTACAACTGTCAAGAATTAACGCGATTGGTAAAACGTAGTGACAGCGGGCCAATAGAGAGCAGGATCCTGGCCATAATGCGGTTTGCGCGCCAATTTTCGTACGTGCGTTAATCGAGCCGAATAGTTTGGCTGAATATTCGGCTATTCGGCCACGCTCCTGGCCGAATATTCGATATTCTTCCAATAGCGGCATTAAAACACTTTGTGTCTTCAAAGGAATGAATTCCACAATGTAATTCTAAATACTTTATTATTATAATTACAGAAGAATAGCTTTGTCATTTCAAAACCAAGTAGGCGTATATTTCAAAATTATATGTTTGCTCGTCGTGTGGTTTGTTTAAACTTATAACCCGAAGACTTTATGTGACGAATTCTAGACACGAATATCTCTGCTCGACGATAGAATTAAAATTTCTGCATTAGTCACCTCATCAGTCTTGTCGAGATCTAGATACTTGCATAAAATTACGTTCAATGATCGTGCGGTTGCTTTAAACTTCGATCCTTATTCTTATTCTTATTCTACTCCCTTGGTTCATATGGAGACTATAGCCTGATACGCTTTTTCTCCGAGAGACGAGTTATTGATCGCTATGCGACCGAAGAGCCGGACGTATCTAACGGCTTATACGCACGCGCGGGAAATAATGCCTTCCGGGAGGACTTTTAATGGGAACTGGCCTCCTATTCAGTCGTTATTGGCAAGGAGAAAACCCGGAAAACTCCTTGCAGCCAGCCTGTCCGATCGCGGCGCGAACCCACGACCGAACTTCCCAGTGTTTAGGGTTTAAACTTCGATCAAAACACTTTTTGGTTTATAAAGCGCTTCGCTTACGCTAAGATTAACCTGTAAATTTCATCTAAATTCACCTAAATTTTGGTAATATTATTTTTTTCAATGTTGAAATAAGTTAGGTGCTTTTTTCCAAACTAAACCTATTTAAAGAAATAAATGTAGTTTGAGTTTTAACATAATCAATAGAAAAAACAGTAGTAATCTATACAGGCCTATATAAATGTACGAACAAATAAGAACCCAGCGAAGTGGGTACTTACAGCTAGTCTATATATATATAAATGGACGTGTCTGTCCCTATATTTCACTTTGCAGCCAAAACTACACATCGCACATGAATGACATTTATGTGTGGTAGTAGCCCAAAGTCTCTCATGGTGGTTGTGTCTCGATAGCTATAAGGATGTGGGAGATACGGGGGTTGAAAGTGGTTGACTTCGAAAATGTGTAACAATGGAAGTGTTAACAATGAAAGTATTAAGAGAAAGCGGCGTGCAAGATTTATAGGCGCATATGTGGTTTTTTGCTTTTTTGCAAAAAATCGAACATATTTTTAGACCAATGTAAAAATTCTCTAATTAGTCTGAAAACGGGGGACCTAATTCTTGCATTTTGTAAAAACGGGTAAGATTGGCTATAATGTAATCTTAATCTTAAATGTTTTCGAATAGTCGAAAATGTTTTGGAATATTTGAGGACCGTTATGTGTGAATAGTGGCTTTTGGAGACGTGTGACGCACATGCTTCAGTTGATTTTCCATTAGTAAAACTGTATGGATAGTGGTAGAAAGTGAAAAGTGAATAGTGAAGTGAGAAAAGTAAAAATATAAAAAACAATGTCAAAGTGTAAGAAAGAATTTTTGCAATCTCGAATCATATCGAAACAGAAATAATCAGACAGAAGAGCAACTTCAAAATGATAGGGAAACATATCAAATCAGAGAAAGATTATGTAGAGGAAGATAAACTGTCTTTTATGTAAAAAAACCAAAAAAAACACTATATTATATATAAATGTACGAACAAATAAAAACCCAGCGAAGAGGGTACTTGCAGCTAGTATAATAAGAAACAAAATAAAACCTATACGTTACCAGTGGCGTAGCGTGGGTGTCAGCCGCCCGGGGCAAAGAAAAATTTCGCCTTTCCCTTATTTAGGTATCTCAATTTAAAAGACTAAAATTCAGTTTCGTCACAGAATAAGTAATGAAAACTTACGTGCTATTGTTGCCACCTTTTTAAAATCGCTGACCTGGACGGCAGGTGAGGTTTGTTAGAACAGAAGTTCCTGAGGCATGCGTATGTCATTTTGCAATGCGAAGAATAATGTGCAGTGTATGCCGGTTCTAAATCAGTTACAGTTAGCGACTAGGCAGACTTGAGTAGGAGTAACGTAAGTAATCTAGATCAGTATTTCTTAACAGGGGGCCGCGGCCACTGGGAGTCCGTAAGAAGTTTGCCGGGTGCCGCCAAATTATGCAAAATTTCCATCAGAATATAATAAAAAGACAATTGATGTATAACCGAATATCATCTTGAAAAGTGAAATAAGAAAGATAAAGTTTTCGTATTTAGTTTTTTTTTATTTATTTCTTATTTCTTCCTACATATAACTTTGTTAGTACAGAAGAAATAAATGTAAATATGCTACTTACACCGCAGTATTTACTTCTTTTATTCCAAAGTAATTCTAAGAAACTATTAATGCTTGGAATGTTAAAAATATAGCAATAATAAAAAATCAATTAATTTATATTTGTTAAATTATCTATAATAATTATTTTAAAAAATGGAGTCACAAAAACTTATGAAATATTTGGTGA